CATTGATCGGCTGCCTCCTGCACACACCCTACTGGGGTTGTTCCCCCAACCAAGGTACATGCCTTGACTGGAATCGAACCTGGGACCCTTCGATCCACAGGCCGATGCTCTATCCACTGAGCCAAACCAGCTATGGCACAATCTAAGGCTTTGCTCCCCCCACTCTTCATCTCCTCAAACTGAGGTTGACCGGACTTGCCCTGGACCACCCAGCCTGGAAGTAGATTCCCTCTCGGAGGCATCTGGGCCCGCAGTTCATTCCTCCCTCATGGCCAGGGGTTAGGAAAGAACTGAGGGCCCAGGGGGCAAGGTTGGGGGCCTGCAGCCTTTCGGGGGAGGCTGGCTGGGGAGCGTGTCCCGGGCCTGACCCCGCCGTGTATCACTTCTTTTTCTCCCCCAGGCTCCCTGCTCGGCGCTGACATGGCTGAGAGCTGCTCGCCGCCCTCCTCCTCTGCTGTGTGCCTGGCCCCTGAGCCGGGAGTCACAGAGCAGCCGGAGCCCCGGAGCCCCCCGCCCTCCCCTCCGGGCCTGGAGGAGCCCCAGGATGGAGCCAACGCAGACGTCCCTCACCCGGACCTGGCGCCCGTTGCCTTCTTCTGCCTGCGACAGACCACCAGCCCCCGGAACTGGTGTATCAAGATGGTGTGTAACCCATATCCTTCGTGCGGCCTGGGCTTGTCGGGGCCCTGGCTGGGCCACCCTGTTCCCTGATGAGCCCGCTGGCCACGCCTGCCCTGGTTGGGAGGCCTGAGCCCGCTGGCTATGCCTGGTTGGTGGGGAGAGAGCTCAGTGGTGGGTCTGGGGAGGCGTCGGGCATGGAGGTCGGACTGATGAGGACATGCTGATGGGAACATTCTAGAAGTTGCTGACTGCCAGTGGCCGGCTGGCCTGGGAAGCCCTCAGGGGTGAACCCCAGCTCTGCACTGGAACTGAGGATGGAGTTAAGTCAGGCCCTGGCCCATGGCCCAGCTCCCAGTGACTGAACCATCTGATGGGTGGTGACCACTGGGGTGATGAGAGCTGAGACGGGGACCCATGGGCATGGGCCCCAGGCATCTGTTTGGGGCCCGAGGCAGCGGCAAGCAGTCCCTCATGAATCTGCCTGCCTTCACTGGTGCCTCTCGTCTGCTCATGTCACCCCCCTGCTTCAGACCCGAAACCATTTCCCGCTGCCCTCAGCCAAGTCCTGACCCAGCCTACCAGACTCTGTGTGCCCCTCACCAGCCTCTCCACGCTGTGTCCTCTGAGCTCTTCTAGGCTTCAGAGCCCTCTCACATGCTCTTCCCTTTGTCTGAAATGATCTTCCCTGCTCTCTTCACCTGGGCAAGTCCTTTGTTGCATCCTTCAAATCACAGCTGGTGTCACCTCCTCAGGGCAGCCCTCTGGGATCCAGACTCTGTGTGCCCCTCACCAGCCTCTCCATGCTGTGTCCTCCGTGCTCTTCTAGGGTTCAGGGCCCTCTCACATGCTCTTCCCTTTGTCTCTCTTCACCTGGGCAAGTCCTTTGTTGCATTCTTCAAATCACAGCTTGTGTCACCTCCTCAGGGCAGCCCTCTGGGATTTCCCCTCAGCCACTCTGTTGGTTGTCACTACCTGAACCTAACATTGGCCTCCTCTGGCGGTGCCACCACGTAACCAGGACACGGACTGAGCTTGTCATGTTCACTGCCGGACCCCAGCGCCCAGCACAGGGCACAGCCACGGTGCTCCTCGGTGTTCGCTGGGCAGACATCGGCAGTGTGAGCTGAGCCTCCAATAGTGCGTGGTGTTAGGTGAGAGGGCAGTGGGGACAGGGGTACGGCAGGAGCGAAGGCCTGGGGAGGAGAGGGCCTGAGGGCAGTTGGTGTGGCTGGGATGGGTGAGTGAGGGCAGAGAGGGGAGGGGGGCTGGCGGGCAGTGGGAGATGTTGCAGGCTCCCTGCGCCGAGTGAGGAGATGCCTGCGTCCTGAGGGCCGTGGAGACCCGGCGAAGTTTAAGGCAGGGAGGCGATGTGGTGAGACCTGCATTAGAAGGACCACTGAGCCGCGATATGAGGATGGATTGCAGAGGTGAGCCTGTGGCTGGGAGCTGCTGAGGAGAAGGCTTTGGGACCCAGGTGTGGTGGCCTATGGTTTTTGGGGTCCACCAAGCAGGACGGAGTCCTTACTGGTGCTTGAGGCCACACAGCATGGGGCCTGAGCCCCGTCCTAGGTGCCTGGGTGCAGGCGGGGTGATGAGGTTAACCCCAGAAAGGCTGGGGGAGGCACATGCTGAGCCCATGTCTGCTGGCCTCCCTGCTGAGTTGGGAGTTGAGGTGATGATGGGCCCTGGAACCGCCCCCCCTCCCGCCCCAGATCTGGGAACCCTGAGGGTCTCTGCTGGGGTGGGTGGAGTGCAGAGCTGTGGGCCTCTCTTTAGGAGGACACCCCAGCCCTGGGACCTGCTCAGAGCACCTTCGGGCTCCCCGGGGCCTACAGCCAGAGGCTGCCGAGGCTGGCGCGAGGGATGGAGGCCTCAGCTTGAAGTGGCCACCTAACTGCTGAGCCGCCTTCTGGACCAGAGAGCTTACGACTCCGATTCCAGACTCTGCGACTGCGTCTAAGGCTCACACTTCATTCACACTGAAGGTTCAGTGACACCAACATTCTAGGCTCCTGTGCGCCCCAAACTGTGAAGTTCGGTTTCAAATCCGTGTCCGGCGCCACGGTGCTGGTTTGGGAGCTGAGGGCCCGTGTCTCTGGGCCCTGTGGACGCGATGCTGAGATTTGACAGCCCGAGTGGGTCCGTGGGAGAGGCCATGCTGGGTGTCCACCAGCAGATGTTGGTGTCCGCAGGGGCTCCTGCAGCAGAGACTCGACTGGGGGGTGCTCAGGCTGGGTTTTAGGGGGCTTGGGTGTGTGTGTGTGTGTGAGTGTCTTTGATCAGATGCTGAGGGCTCTAGGACGCTTCCCGGCGAGGGAGCTCAGGGAGGCCAGCGCTGACCCGGTGCCCCTCAGTGGGCACTGTTGGCATGTGGGCTGTGCTCCTGCTCTGTGGTCCTGGCTGCCTTGTCCCTTACAGGACGTGTGGTGATAATAGTAGGCAGTGCTCCTCCATCATTGTGACAGCCAGGAAGCACCCTTCACCTCCCCAGACTCTGCAGGACTCTGCTCCCTGTCGAGGGCCCCAAGGAATGCGGGTGGGAAGCGCACGGTCAGCCCAGCGGGCCTGGGGCAGCGTGGGAGGTCGGCCCCAGACAGGCTGTCCTCCGC